TGAATAGAAAGTTCAGAAGAACAGCATTTATCTGAAATAGAAATCTTTTGTAACATTATAAATGCCTTTATCATCACTTTTGATCAATTGAAAGCATCCTTGCTAAATAAAAGTATTAATTTCTATTTCTTTCCCAAAAAAAAAAAAAAAAGAAAGAAAGAAATCATACTGACTCCAAGCTTTTGAATGGTATAGTGTATAATGTTACAATTTACAAAAGCTTTTTATTTCAGATAACTTCTGATCTTTGGATCTTTCCGTTCATCAAAGAATCCTGGGAAAAAAATACTCAACTGTATATTGATAATCAGCAAACCAGCATATTAGAATGATTTCTGAAGGATCATGTGACACTGAAGACTGGAGTAATGATGCTGAAAATTCAGCTTTGATCACAGGAATAAATTACATTTTAAAATATATTCAAATAGAAAATATTCCTGAAAAAAAATTTTGACTCAACTGTTTTAAATATTGATAATCAAATTAGAATGATTTCTGAAGGGTCATGTGACACTGAAGACTGGAGTAATGATGCTGAAAATTCATTCAGCTTTGCAGGAATAAATTACATTTTAAAATATATTCAAATAGAAAATATTTCTAAATGTTACTGTTTTTGCTGTACTTTGGATCAAATAAATGCAGACTTGGTGAGCAGAAGAGAATTCTTTAAAAAAAAAGAAAAAGATTACAAATCTTACTGTTCAAAAACTTTTGAGTGGTAATGTAGGGCGGCTGATTATTCTTATAGATTGGAACAAATATGCTTCAGCCAGGATAAAGAATAAGAAAAGTGCTCCGAGTTGCTGCAGAAAAAAAGAGCAACAACAAAAACATGTTGCTGGAGACGGGCTTATTGAAAATGCAAACTGATTGTCTGCCAGCAGGAGGCGCTTTGAGAGCAGTAGAACTAGCGGTTTCCCCGGTAGCGGCTGTAATGAAAGCAGCTCCGCTCATGAACGCTACTTTATCAGATCAAATGAAAATGTCATCGAAACTTTTCTGAAGACAGTCGGTTCCCTTCAGAGATTCATTCATATAAAACACCCGCGCCACGTTTTGATTTTGAAACGTGCAGTGCTAATGTTTATTCAACGAAGTCAAACGCCACAAATAAATCAATGTATGGGAAACACTGCTAATGTATATCGAAATATCGGAAATGTGTTTAAAAATCATCACCGTTATTGAAAAGAATTATATCGCGATACATATTGATATTGAATTATTGTCCAGCCCTAGGTGTGTGGGAATTCATGATTATTTGGGCAGGCTTGTCTGTTCACTAGATGGCCATCATTAAAGGGAACGACCGAAATCTCCAAAACTGTTCAGATTAAGTTTCAATGCATACCTGCAAACTCATCACCTTTGTGTACCAGGATAAATGGGATAAGTCTTGATTGTTAAACATGTTGACACTTCGTGTGATGCACAACACATTTTCTCTGACTGGGGCCCCTGTGAATTTAAATGAATCAAACAAATTAATCAGTTTGAACTAGGGGTGAGCGATACGGCAAAATATATCATTTTATTTATTTATTTTTCAGAAAAATCACGATTCTGTCATGTTGGTTTTACTATTTTGCAAGTTGTCTGAGCGGTACATCCCAACTGATATCCCTATTTTAAAAACAAAGCCGTATAAGGTAACAAAATATAAAATAAAAAAAATAATGGAAGTTATTTAGGCCAAAGTGGGCGAAGATAAAAATCTTCATTATTTTATCTGTTATAAAAAAAAAGAACAAAGATACACATTACAAATGCACATAATATATAAATAAAATAAACAGTGCTTTATTTTTCAGGTACGGTAGGTGTGTTTAGCAGTAGTTCACTGTATAAATTATACATTGATTCTTATTAAAGCAACTGTATTAAAGTTCTTCAGTCAAGAGCAGTGAGTGATTTTTCTATTTGTGTTTTGTTGTTTTATTAACATTAAAGGGATAGTTCACCCAAAAATGAAAACTCACTTTCAAGTTGTTTTAAAGCTGAATGAGTTTCTTTCTTCTGTTGAACATAAAAGCTATTTTGAAGAATGTGGGTATTTTAAAGTCAATGCGGACTAGCAACTGTTTGGTTACCCACATTCTTCAAAATATATTTTGTGTTCAGCACAAGAAAGAAATTAATACAGGTTTGGGACAACAAAATCGAATATATTTGAGTATGCAAGCATGAGTTTGAGTTTCAGCCATGTGTTAATTGATCATCGCCACTAGAGGGAGGACGCCTCCTATTTCTGATATTTAGAATTAAAACAAAGACATGCTTGCAGAAAGAGCTGATATTATGACAAAGCAGAAAGATGGATTGCATATTTTACGTTGTTGAGTCCTTTCACACTCAGTGCAAGGGAAATCCTCTCCCACCCTTCCCTTTTCCTTACACTTCAGATCAGATCTCTGTCCGCTCACATCCACATACAGTGAGGGAACTGACATATAGGCTGTTTCATAAACCATTTCCGTGTATTTAAATTAATGATTAATTATGTCAGTCATTTAAGTGACGATACCACGTATTAGTTATTCACCGTAATGTATGCTATTTAATAGGGCTGTGCGATATTGAAGAAAAATGCGATCTGCGATAACTCATTAATTAATGTATGAATAATGTTGACCACCTCATTTATAAAACAAAAGTAGAACGAACGCCTGTCTAAATTGTAATATGGTTTTACCTAAACTGTCTCTTTCAATTAAATTCAACAATTTACACAAGGTTTTTTTTTGTATTCAGAAATAACTGTCACTGTCCCGCCAACGGGACGCCTAAATTCACTTCAATATATTACAATTAAATCCTAATCTAATTGACAAACTATATATCGTTGGAAAGGTCTAAGACTCCTGAATAGATATTTTAGAACTGTTTGTTGTTCAATTATGTAGGAACAGTAATAGATTAAAACTCAAAAGAATCAAAACTTTTTATAATCTTGACAAAATACATATCGTTGGAAAGGTCTGAGTCTCAGGATTCCATATTTGGTGGTTATTTTATGATAGAAGTAATATTGAGAGAGAAATGTAAACATTTGTGGCAGAGAAATTTAAACATTTGTGGCAGAAAAATGCATCCCAAAAAATTCTATGCAGTTTGGGTGTCACCCGGTGGCTATTTTTGGTATAACGCCTAAACAAAATCGCATAGGAACCTCAATTTTTTTTACATCAACTTCAAATTTGGAACACAACTTATTTAGACATATGGCTTTAATTTGATAGCAATTTTGGATTAAAAACTATTTTGTAAAATAGTTATTTGATATAAAATAAAAATAGTACAGTACATTTTCTTTACAGTAAATTTAAACTTATATAACTTTATCATACTTTAATTTTTTTGAAATGATTTCACTTCTGCAATCTGCAGATTATCTTCTTTAGAAAGAGACCAACATTAGGTCTGTATTCAAAAGCGTTCATGAGTTATAACAATTTAAGTTTCAAAAATGCACTTTCACGTCTATGTTCAAGAAGGGGGGGAGGGGTTAATATGTCAGTGTCAATGAAATGAAGTTTTATACGCGCCTCGGTTGTCCCTGCTGTGGCGAAGTTTGCGCTCATTACTATGAATTAGTTCAAGCTGACGTTTGCTCTTTGCGCGTCCAGTCACGTACCCTAATTAATATTCATGAGCTAAACCCATACCCTAGTAGGATTTGACTTCCGGCTAGAGCGCTTAACTTTTCAAACGGGACCCAAACACACGCACACACGGGACAGGAGACGCTCAACGAAAAGCTTTAAGGAGACTCTTTCGCTATCGTTTACTATATCGGATTATCAGTCGTCGGACATGTACAATTAAAGAGGACTTCTTCAACCCGGACTGGATAAATCAACATTATTTAATGGCGAAGTGGATAATGTTTTTCTCTTAAACGTCGCAATGGATTATATTTCTGAAGGCGAGCAAAGGACTGAGATGAGAGGCATGTTTATCACTTATTTTAGTAGTGACACCTACACGCGCAACATGTGTTGCACTGACGCGGGTAACTTTGACAGCACGCGGAGCGCACAGACTGTGATATAGCTACTAAACACCTGACTTTTGCAACAATACATTCTATTCTCGCACATGCTAAAATGATCTCGGAGGAAAGAAGCAATCACATCTCTAAACAAGCTCTCGGCTTTCCAGTCGGGTTATTGATCCGCTCGCCCAAGAGACGCCTGGCAATGCTGGGCAGAAAGCCCAGCAATGGATCTCTGCAGTGAGTTATTCATACACTTATGCATGGCATTTAATTACATTTATCACACATGTGACACAAATGAAGAATGAAATGGCGCCCCGAAAGTATTTGAGGACTTAAAATTACATACTGGTAAAAAATGTATAGCCTGAATGCACTGTAAGTCGCTTTGGATAAAAGCGTCTGCTAAATGCATAAATTATTAATAAATTATTATAAAATTAAGCAAGGATGACGGTGATCGCATTTGAAAGCAAAATAACAAATCAAGTGTCATTTTTGTATTTTAAACAGAAGGCACGCAAAACATTTCCCAGACGAACAGTTGTTAGAATTTAATTATGCACTGCCTCAGGTCTTTTGCTGAAATCATGCACTGAAATCCATAGTGTAAAAATACTTTACATTTGAGACATGGCGCTAATTTGCCATGTCTCAAACTAATATGTCTAACATGTCTTCACTAATAGAATTGCAAATTTGAAGGGGCATACCAGGGCAACTAACTTTTTTTTTTGTCTCTGTTCATTCAGTAATAACTCCCAACAGTGCAACAAATATCCTGGCCATCTTTTAGTATAAGAAGCATGCCTTATGTAACAGCATAACAGTAATATTAAACTATTTACATATGAAAACATTGATATATGATTGCAGTTATCAGAATATCATATTGGTCCATGGTACATTAAAACAAAAACATGCATCTCACATAAAAGTATGCCTCAGAGTGATAATGTAATCTAATTATAATATTTCATATTTCATCTTATTTTTTTCTTAATTGTATGTTTATACTTAATAGATAGTAATATCTGTATGGTTTTGTCTTTATACAGCACTGATTCCTTTGTCTGCCAGGAACAATACAAGTTTAAAGCAAAAGTCTAAATCGCACCTATGTTATAATTATTTGAGAAAATATTTAATCGTTTTTACTAAAGTACATTAATTAGCTGATGAGTTAAAAACCTTCTCCTTGATGCTTTAATGAAATAAAATTCATAACACATTTTGAAAGTCAAGCCGCTTCTAACCAACAACCTTGAGATAAAAAAGATGTATGTTTAAATTGACACGCAACTTAACTATAGACAGTATATGAAAAGATTAGTCAAACCTCAGTATATATTACATTTCTAACAAGGTGAAACAGTCGCAGTTGTTTTTCTCAGGCATGGAAACTCTCTACTTAGCAGGGGTTTGTATTTGATCCACCGTCTATTACACTCATTGTTGTGTCTAAAGCAGACTGTGTGCAGATGTTTACATCAGTGGCAAGCTTTTAAAGTCATCTTAACCTCGTCTCTCTGAGGTCCGGCACGTCTGATAGCACGGCTCAGTCTGTGGAGAGCTCTGGAGTCCGACAGCCGGCCAAGAGCAAGATACGCCGACACAACAACAGGCTGACCACGGTGTTCAACCGAAGCCCTGTTCTGCGAAACCCACGGCCAGGTCGGGACAGCAGAACCCTAGAACTGCAAGCAGCAGACGACCCCGCAGAGCTGTCCTGTCAGAGGACTATCCCAGGGATCCTCAAGATATTTGGCAGTGACATCTGCCAAGGAACCAACTATAAGAGCGTGCTGGCCACCAGTCACTCCAGTGCCAAAGAGCTGGTCAAAGAGGCTCTGGAGAGGTGAGCGATGCGCTCTTGATTCAGATTCAGATTGGAAGGGTCAGATGAGTGTGAATTAGGGTGCGTCCATGATTGGACTAGGGATCAGAACTCCAAAACCGTTGAGCTAATCCGTCATTTAGCTTAAAAAAACGAAACTGCAAATAAAGTTTCAGTAATTACATTGAGGTAATTTGGTGATTTTTGGTCACACTGCTGACGTGTTTACATGTTGTAGTTTATCCACATTGTGTGCACATAGAAAACACAGTCAAAACACGTTATCAAAGTGCTAAGGGCCAGTCACAACAAAGAGCGATAACTAAGTTTCAATAATCGTTCTAATTCTATTCTAATAGTGAAGTCCACATCACGGCTACAGCGATCGTGACCCAGAGAAACCATCCAATTTGAATAACTTTTTTTTTTCTCCATCTGATGAACAAAAAACATTGACAGCCAATCAGAATCCACCAGACTTTAAAGAGCTTGAGCATTTAAAGCGGTAGACGACAAAATGGCAGCACATGCTTATAATAAACAGAGCATTATCATCCGTTGGCGTGGATGCCAATATAGATATCATTATAGTTATCTTTATAATTATCGTTCTTGGTGTTAATGAGCCTTTTTTTATGTTAATAGTTATTGGTTGAGCAAAATATTTTCAGTTGGTTTCAGTTTACCAGTACTTCAAACCCTAGACCAGAAATACAGTTAATGCCAAGTCACTGGTCGCTTCCATTGTAGACTCGTTATTAGTCTAGCCAGTGAGGTGAAGTTCTCTTGCCTCACAGGTACTGCTTGGAAAAGGAAGACTCCAGTGCATATGTGCTCTGTGATGTGATTGGCCGAACTGGGTTGGACCACGAATGGAAGACGGAGTGCTGTCGGGTTGTCGGTGACCACGAGAAGCCCCTCATGTTGCAGTCGCTCTGGAAACCCAAGGAGGGATTCTCCAGGCGTTTCGAGATCCAGAAAAGAGCAAACGTGGAGGCGCTAAGTGCCAAGAATACAGACACCGTCACCGCAGGTATTGCAGCAAATTATTTTGTGAATGGTACCAGTCTTTTAAGTCCTCTCCACGCCAAGGATGATAACAATAACAATATCTATAAAGTTTTAAAAATCATTCTAATTCTATGAGAATAGGGAAGTTCACACCACAGCTGTAATGGTAAAGCCACATGATATCGTTGGAATCACATTTTTTCAGCCGATGAACGTTAAAAAACATTGAAAGCCATTCAGAATCCGTCACCTTTTTATAAGAATTTGAACTTTTAAAGTGGCAGGAGACAAAACTGGGCGTGCTTGTAATAAACAATGTTTTCATGCGTTGGTGTAGACCAGGGGTGGGCAAACTTGGCCCTTCCAGGCCACTTTCCTTCAGAGCTTAGCTCCAACCCTAATCAAACACACCTGAACCAGCTAATCATTGTCTTCAAGACTACTAGAAGGCTACAGGCAGGTGAGTCGTATCAGGGTTGGATCAAATCTCTGCAGGAAAGTGGCCTGGAAGGGCCAAGTTTGCCCATCTTTGGTGTAGACACTAATATAGTTATCGTTCTTGGTGTGAACGGCCATTAGAGATGTTTTGACTAGTTGACCTTTGATCTATGTTCCAGTTGACACAATTTAGGAATGTTTTAACAGTGTGAGGTACCTCACGGCTTATCCCAACAAAAGCCTGTCAGCAAGAAGCGTAGTGAAATTGCTCTCTCAGAAGTATGTTTTATTGGGATAGTCCTATCAGCTCTCACACTGAGCTTTCCCACCGCGCTTCAGCCGCCAACATCGAAATGGCCGCTTGTTTTTCTTTCTGAGCGTGTTTCCTGCACTCTTGAGGGTGTTTTTTCTTTGGCATGGGGCTGTGGTGTTCCACAGGGTTCTCTTGAGAATCGGTGACTGGGGAAGCTCGGCCCCCATCGCTGTGTGTTCTGGCAGAACAATGTAGATGACCGCCCATTTCCACAGCTGGTAACGTCCAGAGTGCCGCTGGGTGTGAAAGCCTGAGCTCTGAGAACATTTCACAGCACTGTTTATGTTACATCACCAGTGGTGGGGAAAGTTACTTTTAAAAGTACTGCATTACAATATTGCATTACTCCCTAGAAAGTAACTGATTGCGTTACTTAGTTACTTGTTATGGAAAGTAATGTGTTACATTACTTTTGCGTTACTTTTTCTCATTTGGGCTGAGCTTGCTTGTTTGTTTTTAATATAAAAAGTTATATTTTTGGCAAATGCAAAAGTCCTTTTTCACACCAAAATTGCTTATTAGTATGGTGGAATTGGATCATTGAAGGTCAGTAGCATTGGTTAATAAAATAGGATTAAATACATAAAGGATATTTGTGCTATTTAACATATTTAATTATTGCAGGTTTCCATAATATTCTGAGTTTGCTTTTCACTGTTTGTAGTCATTTTGAGTAATACTGAATCTGTTTTTGTGCAAGTGAGATGAGTAAATGCATGTTCACATTTAGTCCAGAACTACAGTAACATCATGTTCACACAACACCTCTGCACTTACTCCCGATTTCTCTCAACATGGGGACAGGAGAGCTGTCAGTCAATAAATGGGAAAACAAAGTAACTGGTGTTGCTTATCTGCAACGAAACACACAGCGTCTCCACGACATGGCGGTTGCGGCAAAAATACTACAGAGAGAATAAAACCTACGCCTTCTTTCTTTGCGTGAACATTTGGGTGGCGTTATGCAAATCTTCCCACACAG